ATTGAGCCCACAAAATGTGAAGAACAACAATGCATCCAAAATAACTAAAATAACCGAGAACACTGTGCCACATAAAGCACTAGCAAACAATAGATTTGCGATACTAAGTGTCCCAAACGAAGATGAGATCACCCAAACACCCAAGGCCAAAAAATTAAGACCGCCACCTATTTATGTTCGACAGGCAAATTGTGCTGAACTGGTCAAAAAAATAACTGATACAATTGGCGCAAACACATTCCATGTCACGTACATAAAAAGGGGTAATATAAATGAAACAAAAATACAAGTCAATGACGAACAAAACTATCGATCAGTTGCGAAATATCTCGAAAATGAAAAAATGAATTACTACACCTACCAACTTAAAAGTAGCAAAGGATTACAAGTGGTTATCAAAGGAATCGAACCAACAGTCCCAATCAATGAGATAATAGATGGACTTAACGATAAGGGCTTCGAAGTCAAAATGGTAATGAACATAATAAATAGAAACAAAATTCCTCAGCCAATGTTCAAAGTAGAACTGACACCTGAAAGTATGCATATAAGGAAAAATGAAGTTCACCCAATATACAAGCTTCAATACCTACTGCACCGTAGGATCACCGTTGAGGAACCACACAAACGAAATGGACCGGTCCAATGCACAAATTGCTACGGGCAGTCTGCGTTGCCTGTGGTGATGTTCATCTCACTGAGGCCTGCCCCGTAAATAAGGAGGACCCATCTGCCAAAAAATGTAGCAACTGTGGGGGAAACCATACTGCCAACTATAGAGGTTGTCCTGTCTATAAAGAATTGAAAAATCGCCTAAACCAACAAATAACTGCAGCTCGTAACCCGTCGTCCGACAAAACTTAACATATATACCATCAACTACGACTCCAGGAGTTTCTTTTGTCAGGCGTTAAGTTACAACAACGGGTCGTACGCCTCAGTCTCTAAGCCGACACTTCAACCAACCACAGCTGGAATAATGCAGAATCAGGCATCAAATCAGATCCCAGAAATCTCTGCCCAACATACCCCTGCTAATCCATCCCAATTGCCTAGTGGAATTGAGTCAATGCTGGTAACTATAACAAATACAATGGTAGCAATACAACAAACGATGCAGGAGCTTATGCGCAACCAAAATCTCCTCCTGGAGCTCCTAATCAAACAGAAATCTGTTTAAATGTCCTGTCTAAATATATGTTTCTGGAATGCAAATGGCATTTCTCAGCACAAATGCGAGCTCTTACAGTTCCTCGCTCAACACGACATTGACGCCATGCTCATATCAGAGACTCACCTAACAAATAAAAACTATTTTCACCTCAATGGCTATAACTTCTATGCGACAAATCATCCCGATGGTAAGGCACATGGAGGTACTGGCGTTCTGATCAAGAATCGCATTAGGCATTATCCATTGCCTTCATTTGCTACACCTTATCTACAGGCAACAGCAATTCATATTGAAATTCAGAGCGGCTACCTAAACCTAGCCGCAGTATACTGCCCACCACGTTTCTGCATTTCCGAAACAGAATTTGTAACATTCTTCGACCTACTAGGTTACCGATTTATAGCAGCTGGTGACTACAATGCCAAGCACACCCATTGGGGATCTAGACTTACCAACCCGAAAGGAAGACAACTATATAACGCTATAATAACCCCACGAAACAAGCTAGACTTTATCTCTCCGGGCAAGCCCACATATTGGCCCACAGATCCAAACAAGCAACCCGACTTGATTGATTTTGCAGTTACACGAAGGGTGCTGCAAGCTCAGATTAATGTAGATCACTTAACAGATCTATCATCGGATCACTCGCCCATTCTACTTCACCTTTACGACCATCCACAGCATTTGGAACGCCCACACTTTCTAACTTCTAGCAAAACAGATTGGCTCAAATACAGGAAGTACATAAGCTCTCATATTGATAGCTGCCCAAACATTAATTGTAAAGATGACATTGATAGGTCAGTCGAAGCATTGGTTTCCTCAATGTCACTGGCGGCAAAACACTCAACACCAATATTAGCATCTAATAAACATTCCAACAGCAGTCGTATTTCTAGGCACATTGAAGTGCTGCTACGCGATAAAAGAAGGCTTCGCCGAGAGTGGCAAGCACACAGATCACCTGCATCGAAAGAGCGGCTAAAAATAGCCAACCACCTACTACGCAGAGCCCTAGAAGATGAAAAAAACCGAGCTCAAATATCCTATATGGAGCAACTCTCCCCAACTAGCAAACGATTCCCACTGTGGAAAGCAAAATCAGGCGTATCCCCACCAATCGAGAGTGAATCACCTTTGCGTACACAAACAGGAGAGTGGGCTCGCAGCAACAAAGAGAAGGCAAATACATTTGCCGTCCATCTAGAAAACGTCTTCAAACCGCACCCAGCAACGAATAGCTTTGTGCTCCCACCAACCAACAATCCCGAAGCTACTCCGCCTATCATATTCCAAACAGGAGAAGTCACAAGGGTCATTAAAGACCAAATCTCAAAGCAAAAGAAAGCTCCGGGCCACGATTTCATCTCTCCTAAAATGATCATAGAATTGCCGAGCTGTGCAGTGTATTTTCTTACTATGATATTCAACAGCATGATGAAATGGGGCTATTATCCTCAAGAATGAGGAAATCAGTCATCACAATGATCCATAAAGCCGGAAAAGACAAGTCCAAGCCATCATCATATAGACCTATCAGCCTACTGCCTTGCCTATCAAAGATATTTGAAAAGCTGCTCCTGAATCGTATCAAACAACACCTACACATCAACGGTGCCATCCCGACTCACCAATTTGGATTTCGCGAAAAACACGGAACCATTGAACAAGTAAACCGTATAACCTCTGAGATACGAAATGCATTTGAAAGACGGGAGTATCCTCCGCTGTTTTTCTGGATGTCGCACAGGCTTTCGACCGCGTTTGGTTAGATGGCTTAATCCACAAAATCAAAATATTACTTCCACAGAACATCCATGGAATAATGGAGTCATACCTACAGCAAAGAAGTTTCGCAGTACGATGCAAAGATTTCCTCTCTGAATATCATCCAATTGAAGCTGGTGTACCGCAAGGCAGCGTGCTTGGACCGACACTGTATATCATATTCACAGCAGATCTACCGACAAACAGCCTAACAACAACTTCGACATTTGCTGATGATACTGCCATATTAAGTCGCTCCAAGTGCCCAAGAAGGGCCACGGATCACTTATCATCTCATCTCGTGGCCTTAGAAAAATGGCTAGCAGACTGGCGGATACATGTAAACGAGCAAAAGTGCAAGCATGTCACCTTCACGTTAAACAGACAAACTTGCCCTCCATTATGTCTGAACAATATCAACATTCCACAAACCACCGAAGTAACATACCTTGGTGTTCATCTGGATAGAAGGCTTACTTGGCGTAAGCACATCGAAGCGAAGAGAAATCTACTTAAATTTAAAGCTAGTAATCTACATTGGCTAATAAACACCCGTTCACCACTAAAACTGGAGTACAAAGTACTTTTGTACAATGCAGTTCTCAAACCTATCTGGACATACGGCTCCGAGCTACGCGTTAGGTAATTTAGAAATAATCCAGAGAGCTCAATCGAAGATACTAAGAACTATTACTGGGGCACCATGGTACATACGGAATGAACATATCCATAAAGACTTAAATGTAGGATCAGTTAAAGATGAAATTGCCAAAGTGAAAGCAAAGTACCAGGCCAAGCTTCAAGCCCATCCTAATAGACTTGCGCAGTCTTTAACTTGGCACACTAGCCATACACGACTCCGCCGAAGAGACCTTCCCACCCAGCAATAATACTTAGCTAGGGACGTACTTAGTAATTAAGTGTAAATAATTAAATAAATATATTAGGCTAAGATTTGTATACTTGTCGTAAGTCTCTAATAGGGAAGATTCGATAAATAAAATCCCGTAATAAAAAAAAAAAAATATATGTTTGGAGAAAAAAAAGAAAAAAGGCAATGCAGGCACTCTATAAATTCTCGCAAACATTTTTTTGACATTTTAAATGAAGGTGTTCACTCAAGCAAAAATTTTTACAAATGATGTTTGTGCCAACCTTGCCATCCATTGTCGAACATGTTGGCACGAACACAACGAAGATAGAATAATTTCTATTCTCTTCGAACACAACATCGAACACGAAATTACGACCCGAACACTACCACCAACGATTCGAACCCAACATGTTTGCCGAACAAATTCTATCGTGGATGGCCCGCGTAATATACCCCTTAACTCTTTTTTGAGTACGGGTATAAATGTAATAGCCACTGAGAAAAATACAAAATAAAGAAGGGCCCCTAGATTGATGGTTGCCCAGGGCCCGGTTGAGGGTTGATCTGGCCCTGAATAGGTCGAGTTTGGTTTTAAAGTTATTTGTTTGCATTGTGTGTATTTACAGTGGAGCCAAAAAGAGGTGGCAAAATTAAAAAATATTTTATGAACGCTTTGAATAAAATAAATGTACACATCTAGTAGAATATTTTCCAGAGCTTTAGCGAATCTAATTTTCAAGATAAAAAACCTTGAGCAGGGCCGAGAACAGAGGCTATGCTTTCAAGATATTTTATGGATGCTGTAGCAAAATATCCATCTACATGCTGCTTGTGATAATCTGCCTGGGCTCGACAAAGCTTTACCGGTACCGTTCTTACATGGCGTCTTCCTTCAATCGAGGAAGAGTTTCTGGGCAATAGTTATAGATAGGTTGAGCTTCTGGACAAATTAAACCCTTCTTTATTAAGCTCTTCATGGAGATCAGACAAGGTTTTTACACTTCTGATAAGGTTAGTGCGCCTCCTCTCATCAGCTCCACTTCCAAACATGGCTATCTCCAAAATAGTTTTATGGAGAAACGGTTGATCGTCTTCAATCGGGGGTCTGCCGGCTGTAGATCGTTGGTTCCAGAGACTTTGAGCATCTGGAATTTTTTCAAATAGGCTGCTCAATTTTTTTTTTTATTCTGCCATTTTATGTTGAGCCTCTGTTTTTTGCTTGCGCTTGAGGGTTCTTGTTTCATTTTCAATTTCTTGCCTAGTTTTGGCAAGCTCCTTTTGGATTTCGCTAGACATTGTTGAATTATTTGCCTGCACTAGGACTGATGCTTTTTGAGTTAAAGATATAATATTTTCCTTTGTCTTTTGTTGCGCAGGCTTTGGGTAGCTTCTTTCGCTGCTGACATTAGTTTTTGTCTCTTCATCTACAATATGAAAGTATTTAAGTGATTTAGTTTGTCTGTTAACTAATTTTAAAATATTTTTGTTTATTATTTACTTACCATTTTCAGACGTTAGATCGATGGAATGGTCATTAGAATCGATCGCTGATTGAGGAATATCGTTTTTAGGAGTATATATATTCTGTAAATAGTTAAAAAATGTATAGTAATATGTCCACCAGAATGCAAAGCATGTGTTTGGAGTCACAATTTATCACAAACACTATGCATGGCGAAACAAATTGAATAGATTAAATATATCGTACATACCTTTGAAGCATTCATAAAAAAGGACATAGTTTTGATTTTTTTTTTGTAGCACCTGCTTTTCATATCTTTTTATTAAATAACTTATATATTTGTGAAACTCTTTTTGTTCTTTTTTTGCTGTTTTTCATATTGCAGTTGCTTCTTTTTGACAAACTGACGGTCCTTTGTCTGGATAGCGCAGTTTGTAAGATTTGAAAAACGATTGAAAGAGTGCATTTACTTCAGATTCCATTGTGAAACACCAGAGCACACATGTCACAGCCGAAATTTTAAAATAGATTCCGGTGAATCACATACTTTCACAACGAACAGCTGATTTTCGATATACAAATAGTAGAATATGTATATCGACTTAATTATAGGGTTGCATTTGGTACTTATTGGGGGAATAATCGGCGCGAAATAAATTTTTAAATAAATACTTTCAATAAAAAAAATTCTTTAAAATGATAACGTAATCATTGTCCAAGACCCCCATCCCCATGTAATCAAACATAATCATTTCCTTGACGCTTCGGCTCTGTGAGGCTGAGACATTCGGGTCGTGAGCTGGGCCGTTCGGCATGGATGACTCATGTCGGGAAGCGAAAGCAAGCTGAGCATTGCAAATGTGTTTGTGTAAGCAGACACGACAAAATTTTGTTCAATTCTTAAGAATTGATAACCTGCAGGTTACGTAAATGTGTATGTGCCATCCCAGCAAACCAAACGCTCGCAAATAATATCGCATACGAGTCAAATGTGAGACTTAACCGGACAAAACGCTCGCATTTGGACTCGTATGTACATATATGATAGAAATATGATACTTGTGTCGTTCAGTTTGTGGCAGTGATTTTATCATTTATGATAGCTTGCAAACGTATCGTTTGCGAGACTTTTGCGATATCGTTTGTGAGACTTTTTTGATATTTTTAGTGAGTCGTTTCTGATATCTTTTGTGATACTTTTTTGGTATTTCTAATGAGTCCTTTCTCATATCATTTGCGAGACTTTTGCGATATCGTTTGTGAGACTTTTTTGGTATTTCTAGTGAGTCTTTTCTGATATCTTTTGCGATACTTTTGTAATATCAAAAATGAATCAGAAAAAATATCGCAAAAGGCTCGCAAGAAATAGCTTTGGGAGTTTTTTTTCCCCCTTTCCCGTTTTGTTCCAATAAGAATATTTGTATTTTTAAATTGTAATGTTAATTTTTTAATGTTGTTATAATAATGTGTAACATATGTATATTGAGTCACATTTATCTGTTCTCGCCTTTCTCTCCTGTGCGTATTGAAAGAACTTCTGGGTTGTGCGGTCGAAGTCGTTGTCCTTTAGAGCAAACTTTTGTTTAAATGCATCTGTAGACAATAAGAAATAGTTAAAAATTGAGGAAATATACAAGTTATAATAGTAGATCTTACTTCTTACCGCTAAAGTGGTGCGAAGGCCTCTCACACACTTCTTGGAATCTACACCACGCCAGGAGTATAGCTTCGCCACATCATCGCTTATAATCTGACGTCACGAGCTTCTTATAAATTTATCAAAGGTTTTTTCATTGTTATTGATTAAATCCTTGATCTTAAGAAAAGTATGAGGTTTTTAAACAAGTGATTTACTCCGAAAATTTACAAATTCATTACCAAGTTCTTAAAAAAATGCTCTTTCTTAAGAGAGTCCTCGAAAGCCTCAAAGCCCTCCATTGTAGCCAGAGGAGAAAGTGGCACTGTCAATTTCAGGGTATTAACTTCTCCGCACACTCGAGCCTTTATGGAGGAGACTTCACTTCGTAAAGAAATTAATTCAGCCCCTTGACGATCTATTTTTTCTATTAGCTTCACAATTTTTTTATTTGTGGCCTGTTGGCTTTCTAAAACTTTACTTCGAAGATTTAATATATCTGAAAATATCTTGAGTAAGTCTATTGAATATGGAAATGTTTAATTGCATTACCAGTGTTGGAGCAGCAGCAGCAAAATAGCATTGCATAGCATAGTATAGCATAGAATAGCATAGTATAAGAGTTATTGGATTGTTACGCTCAGTCGCTGTTACGATCGTTCGATCGGCTCCCTTCTGGACTGGGGCGAACGTTGGCATCGCTGGCTGCGACCAGTGCATTAAACGGATTTAAATTGAACGGCTGTCTTTTTCTTGTCTCTTTCGCTGACATAGCATACCACCGTTTTCGGAACAACCACCTAGAGCTGCTGGACCGGCGTCATCCCCACATTATCGTTCCGGAAAAAACATTCCGGATTTTTCATTGCGCCCGAGCAGGGACATCGGTTATCAGCATTTTCGTGGAAATTCGCAAGACAAAAACATTTAACAGTGCACTTTCGTCGTCTCGGCACAAGTTACTGGTTTTTAGTCTTTGTGCGAATAAAGCTCTAGCTGGCTGGTCTGCGACATCACATTAAGGAAAGTTCTTCGGAAAATTCAATGCCGAATCTACAGGTGCCAAAATGCCAAAAATTGAGTGCAATCAAGCCACCATTTTGTGAGTTGTTTGTGCCTATTATAGCATCATAGCCGGTGGCCTCATTTTCTGGCACTGCATGAATTGGAATACCAATTTAATAAAATATAACCCAAATAAAATCAACCGAAGTGAACAGCCAGAAATATTAAATAATTATTTATGTGTGGAAACTCAATAAAAAAGTGTACATCATATTGAGGTCCGACTGTACTCGCTAATCAAAAGCAACGGAACGGTCATTGCCTCTATTGTCAATTCTCTTTTATCAAGAACCGCTTCTTGGTGGTCTGTTGGCTTCGGTAACGCTATAGTTGCGCCAAATTGTACATAGTTTGGCGGCGTTTGGTTGTGTGCGCTGAGAGCATAATTTTGCTCGTCGCTCTTGCTGTCGCCGCATTAACCCATTAAAGCCGATAAATAGTCTTTAGACATTTCTGTTGTCGGTGTTGTTGTTATTAATTGTGGATAATAAACTCTGGCGGTTTCGGCTGTGTGCGTTGGCATCATAATTCTGCAACGCGGTAACGTTGCTATCGCTGTTTTAACCCACCAATAGAGAGTTTTGGGGAACTTCTTTTTATACCCGTACTCAAAAAAGAGTTAAGGGGTATATTAGATTTGTGGTAAAAGTGGATGTGTGTAATGCAGAGAAGGAAACGTTTCCGACCCCATAAAGTATATATATTCTTGATCAGCATCAATAGCCGAGTCGATATAGCCTTGTCTGTCTGTCCGTCTGTCTGTCTATCCGTCTTGTTGAGCGCCTAGATCTCAGAGACTATAAGAGCTAGGGCAACCAAATTTGGTTTCCAGACTCATGTGATATCACACTGCTACAAGTGTATTTTAAAATTTCGCCCCGCCCCCTTCCGCCCACACAAAGAACGAAAATCTGTGGCAGGCACATTTTTAAAGATACGATAAAACTAAAAACGCAGTATCGTAGAGAATGGCCATATCTACCAGACTGCCGAATCTGAATCAGATCGGATCATAATTATAGCCAGAATGAAGAAATTAATTTTCAGTTGCATCCCCTGCCCCCTCCTTCCAACGACAACGCAACTCATTTTCCTTCTCGCTCGCACACTCTGCCGCGTTCAGTGCGCGAGCAACCCCTAGCGCAGGAGATGTAGAATATGAATGGAACATGTACAATCTACATGTTAGATGTTGAATAGTCATTGTATATGTAGATGTAGATAGCAGATGTAGCAAAAAAATGTAAAATGTAAAATTTTTTTTTTTTTTAATTTCTGAAAAATCATAAGCTCAAAAATGTATATACTGACTGAGTACGGGTATAAGTAGAGTCGTGTCCCCTGAAACGACTCACACGTTCCTTCTCGTTTTGTTTTGGTGTTTGTTTGAAAACAGTTCGTTGAATACAGCCACTAACCATACTGTATATAGATGTGCCAGTTCATACAACGAAAGGGGCGCAGCTGAGGTTTCTGTCCCAGCACCACCAGGTCTTCGGCTAGGGTGCTGGGACAATTCGGCTGTGGTGCTGAGACGTTCGGCGTTTTTCGACATGTTCGATTCATGACGAGATGCGAAAGCAAGCTGAGAATTGCAAATGTATGTGTGTAAACAGACACGACAAAATTTTCTATCAATTCTTATTTTCCGAAACCGTTTTGAGTTTGTTTTGAGTTTCGTTTCCAGGTTGCGTAAACGTGTGTGTGTCATGTATTCACACATACTGTGCTTGTGTGTGGGCTCTACAATTTTTGGGCGCTTGAATTGGTTTTTCGTTTTGTTTTGAGGGCTGATGTAGCAACCTGAGCTGACCTGCTGCAACATAAATGAGGAATGGGCAGAGTGGGTGGGGGTGGGAAATAATTGCAATATATAAAATAAAAGCTGTTATTTGTTTGATTGATTTGAAATTGCACATTTACATATGCATATCCGTATTTACGACAGGTTTTTTTTTTTTTTTTCATATTGTGCAAATGCCGTCGGCTTTCGACTTTGAAACTCAGTCAACAAATTCCTTTTTTTCAGAGAACTTTTCTTTTTTACCTTAAATCAGTTATTTATCATATACATATGTACATGATTGTTTATTATGTGCATAAATATTGTGCAAGTGCCGACGGCTTTTGACTTCGTTGCTGCCGTAATACTTTTTCAATAAATTTTTCAGAGACCTGCTTTTAAGATCCATATAATTGCATTCTAAAATCTTTTTATATACATGTATATATCTATGCAGGGAATTGGTATATGTGGATTTTTTACCTAAAATCACTTTTTTATCATATGTGTACATAGATTCTTTATTACATATAAAATAATGTTATATACATACATATATGTATTTTTTTACACTTTTTCACTTAAAGTCGCCGCTCATATTGGCACCCGATTGAAGATCGGTACCCAGGGAACACCACGAGGAGGCCATTATATATAACTATAATGGGGTCAAAAGTTAATCTGACCTTTGAGTCGACTTGATATGACTTAATTAAAAAATTCGAATTAACACGAAGCAAACATTGAAATAAGAGTACACAAAACCAAATGAAATATTTTAATAATGAAGACAAATAGAATCTAATTAATGCAGTGTTATATGAATGACAATTATATGGATACTATAATTTATTATTTTTATTAATTTTCATAAATATAAAACAAATATTGTTTTCAAAACAGTTTGTCTTCACGGTGTCCGGCACGGGAGGCGTTGCAATCCTCTGCTGCTGATAGTCAGACACATTACCTTGTCAACAAAATATTGGGGAGCCCAGGATATGCCTAGGGAAGAGCGACCACAGCCGAGGAAGTGCATTTTATTAACTTTGATCAAAACCAAGCAGCTCTCTGAACAGTGTAACCGTACGGAATGCAGTGCAAACCTCTGGTCAAACCACTGGCCGCTAGAAGAATATATGACATTTGTCATATATTGCAATTGAAATTCTTGCAGTTACCAAACGGGATCGAGACATGTATAGAATCTAATTTAGGTCAAAAGCATGCCAATACAAGTAAATTAATTTGTACCTAGGTTTCAAAGCAGCTTAAGCTGCTGCATTCCAATTGGAATGCAGAAGTTTAACAATACGAAAGGACATTTCCCAATTGGGTATCTGTCTCATCTATCTGATAAAATTTTATTTTCAGTTGTTAAAGTCCTAATGGGGAATGGGGAATGGGGATCGTCTGCTCAACGCATTGCACTGCAGCTGTGGGATAAATGTACATACATATGTATATACAAAACACAAAACAAATAAATACAAATTCAACATTTTATTTGTATTTGGCATCTTTTAATGGCGTTACGGTTTCTGAAAAGATACAAACACAATTTCTTAGGTTTGAAGTTAATGGACAACAATTTGTATTAAGAAAAAAGAACAACAAATTCAACAAAGCTGCTTTTTAATTGCTTCATGCGATCGAGTATGCCTGGAGTAGGCCACGCAACGAAATATAACGCAGCTCTGCAGCGTTGCTATCTGCTACATAATCGTCTTTATTTACCTCGCGCCCCTAATTAACGGAGCATTCCGTAATGTTTCCAGCCGGGAAGCTGACAGAAGAGCAGACTCAGCCTCCCTATGTGGAGGTGTACCTGCATTCGCTGTATTGTTCCCCGAATCTAATCGAATAATTTGTACTTGGCTGAAAGAAGGTGAGAAAATTACACTCAATTGCCAGGCAACTCAAGCTACTTACCTCTCAAGCTCGGCTACCCTGGCCGCACAGAGGTCGGTCGTTTCATTTGTTTGTGTTTCGTCCAGATTAGCCACAGCCACAGGTTCAGGCTCAGCCTCAGTCGTGACTTTCATGACTTCCGTGACTGTGTGGATACTTCGATTGTGTTCCTATTAAGGGACAGGCGGGATTAGTTTGGGTTGCCCCAATGGCCAAACGGCCAATACTACCTGGCTGCTCGGCGCCTCAAAGACTCCAACCATTTGGTCAAGTCCAATCGTCTGGGCTGTTGGACACTGTGCTGTAGTTTCCATTAACTGGCTGACTTGCGTTGCCCTTGTAGTCAAGATTGTTGCGTGTTTACGCAGCTTCCTTATGAGTTCTTGAATCGGTAGTTGAATAGTCTCCGTATACTGGGATCAACGTAGAACGAGTGATAGTCATGCGGTTTGGCCAACAGGGCCGGCAGCCGCGACTCGTCTGTGATCCAATATTTCAGCAAGGGGCCGATGAGTTCGTCGTAGTTAATACAACACATGAACAATTCAAAGGACACGGGATACTGATAGGTACTGCAATGAAAGATGAGAGTTATTACCCACACACAAGAGGTGTACCAGAAAAAGTGATGATGTGTCTTACCTTTCCCAATTGAAAACGACATCAAAGTGGTCCGCGGAGCTCAGCGAGATCGGATGGCTGGATGTGGCACTAAAATTAGAAACTGAAAGATCCCAAGACTTGTTTGATTGTTTCTTACCCGGTAGCTGGAATGCTTTTACCTCCTCCCAACAACTTTGTCAGCTGGGCATCAGATAGATCATCACTGAAAATATCCGTGAATACTCGAGCTACCGGGAACGCATAAAAGTGCTTATACGCCATCAGCATCCGATCTCCTTGCTGGGTGCCTTCGGGCGCGTTTAATTCCCTGTGGTAAAGCAGCTTCCGCATCTTCCTCGAATCCACGCTCTTTTTGAACGTCTCAAAAGAGACGGGAAAGATGAACTTTCCCTTTCTGTCAATGGTCAAAACAATTAGCCATTAGGGAATTGTGGCATACATTGGGGTTGGGTTGTACGGTACTCACCCTTCCACTTCGGCCGTCACACCATCCTCATCCGATGCTTCCGGCATGGTGAGCAGCTTATCCTTCATGGATTGGGGACATGCGCGCACCTTGACCGGGTACCGCTCGCGGACAGTGGCGTCCTTGTAGAAGGCGATGTAGAACCATCTGGCACACTCCTCCGGCGTTTTCTTTGGGCCATCGCTTTGATCCCTTTGAACCGCGGATGCAATTTCCGGCAGGTTCACAACAAGCGTTTTGAATTGCTCGAACGACACAGGTAGAGACATGTTGATTGGAAATTTGTTAAAGGCAATCTGTACGGAAGGCAGTACTCAGATCATGTAGATCGCTTTGAACCGCGGATACAATTTCCGGCAGGTTCAGTATCAGCGCCTTAAATTGCTCGAACGAGAGAGGAGGAGACATATTGAGAGGAGACTTAAATTTGAAAAGGCAATTTTGAAAAGGCAAAATTAGAAACTGAAAGATCCCAAGACTTGTTTGATTGTTTCTTACCCGGTAGTTGGAATGCTTTTACCTCCTCCCAACAACTTTGTCAGCTGGGCATCAGATAGATGATCACTGCAAATATCCGTGAATACTCGAGCTACCGGGAACGCATAAAAGTGCTTATACGCCATCAGCATCCGATCTCCTTGCTGGGTGCCTTCGGGCGCGTTTAATTCCCTGTGGTAAAGCAGCTTCCGCATCCTCGAATCCACGCTCTTTTTGAACGTCTCAAAAGAGACGGGAAAATGAACTTTCCCTTTCTGTCAATGGTCAAAACTATTAGCCATTAGGGAACGTTTGTATCAGTTGAATACCTGAAAACATCTAAATACAGTTAATAATTCAATTTAAAAAATGTATTTTTACACATACCTTCTACGCTTCCCTCACTTTACTTACCTTGCAAAAACATCGATAGTCGCCATTAAACATCGATGTTTCCAAAAAATTTAAAAACATCGATGCATCGATGTTTTCATCGATGTTTCTCTACCTCTATATTATAGCCTTTTTACACTGGGCGCGTCTGCTATCGATATCGGAATAGACGCAATGAAGCAGAAAAGGCGTTTACATTGGCAGAAGTGCGTCTTGAATTTTGTTTTGGGTGCTTGATGACAAGGAAAGTAAACAAATTTTGAGAAATCAACAGAATTATGCAAGACGACAAGAAAATGGACGAAAGAGAATTGATTCTTATATTTATTTATTATTTTCAGACATTTCTTTGTAGAGCTTGTGGGAGTTCTTCTTAAAATTATGAAAACCATCGAAGTTCGTCTCCAGCAGTGTCATAATGGCATCAGGGGGTCACAAAAATGCCGTATGATAATAATACAATCAGTTTCAAGTATTTTATTTAATGATTTTATTAATATTTTCACCTTTTTGCACAACCATAAATTTTTAGCGCCAAAATTTAATTTTTGATCTACAAGTTTTTGTTGTTATTAGTGGTGATCGTTGCGCTGATAGGCAGAAAAGTGCAAAAATGTGCTGTTAAGCGCAAAAGCAATCGAATATATCGAATAGACGCACATGAATCAGAGACCGACGAAACTTTTTGCCACCACTAGGGCCCTATGCATAACCTATGTAAAAAAAATGCGTCTCCGGCATGACGCTAAGAAGCATGACGCAGCCCCAATGTAAACAGCCTATAAATCAGCCTTTATATTTAGGGAAGGGGGGGGCCAGCGAATGCATGTTTTCATCTAAACATGCCCTGGAAAAGAATGAAAATTGAAAAAATCTAAAACACCAGCGTCTGCCAAGCGCGCTCTCTCTCAAAGCCTTTTTCCACTGGGTGCGTCTGCTATCGATTTCGGAATAGACGCAATGAAGCAGAAAAGGTATTTACATTGCAGACGTGCGTCTTGAGAAAAGCTGATGACAGCAACACAAATTTTTTTAATCAAATCAATAATGAATAAAAACACGAGGAATCTTACAGAAACAGACCTCGTTATTTTGTCTGCGGTGGAGTAAAATGAAGAGGATGTTTTAAAATGCATGGAAGCGGCGGGCTGGTCTGCAGCCAAGTTAAAATTTATTGTGGAACTGCACCGTCCTCGCAGCGTGTGGACCCTTGTAAGTAGAAGGCAGTACATTTTCCAGGACTTCTACGGTATAACAAATTTAAATAGCCGCGATATGGATCATTTTGGGAGAAAGATGTTGTGCAAAACTCCGATGCGTTTTTCAAAGACAACTTTCGTATGGCAAGAAGTGCTTTCAATATTCTGGTTGGAATTCTGCCCAATCTCCGAAAGAAAGACTCCAATTTTCGACTGGCAATCCCTCTGGAGAAAAGGATAGCGATATCACTATATTGCCTGGGATCCTCTGCGGAGTATCGCACAATAGCGAATCTTTTCGGTGTGTCCAAAACCATCGAATGCCGTATTTTGATGGATTTTTTTTGGGAGCTGACTGCTGTACGTGCTGATGAATATATGCCAGAAGAATTTCTTACCCAGGAGAAGATTACGGAAACAGTGAAGGGCTTTGAGGACATGGGATTTCCGCAGTGTTTTTTACTTTTACAGTTACAGATTCACATACATAAATGTAGGGTGTCCCGGCCGAGCTCATGACTTGAAAATTTTTGAAAACTCCAGCCTAAAAATAAAACTGGATGAGTCGGATTTACTCGATGGGAATTCGAAAATTATAAATGATACAGAAATACCTGTGTTAATCTTAGGAGATTCTGCATTTCGATTTTCCAAAACGGTAATGAAACCCTATCCGTTTTCCGTTGAGTCTACTCCGGAACATAAAGCATTTAATTACAACTTGTCAAAGGTTAGACGTGTAGTGGAAAATGCTTTCGGCCACCTCAAGGCTCGGTATCGGAGGATAGGAAAGGGACTAGACAACGACATCAAAGACAATACAAAGATAATTATCTGCTGCTGCATTCTTCACAATTTCTGCTCCACCCATAATTGCGAAGTCTCTGACAGTTGGCAGCAAGATGCAGAAACCATTCAAGTCCAAGAACAACCTCAGCGCTCTTTCACACCACTTCTTAGAAACAACCCTTTATAAATAAACAATTTTAACCATTTGACTAAATATATTTTGTTTTATTAAAATACTATTGCCGTTTTTCAAACAGCTCAAGAATTTTCTTGTGAAAATTCGCCGAGTTTTCAGCAAACTGTCTGCATCACCTCCAGCTTTCTCTCCTCTACTTCCAGTAGTTTTTCGACGATTGTGTCGACTCGACGACGTTTTGGTTGGGAACCAGAGGTCTCTCCACCTAAATTTTCGGTTGCTGATGTTTGCTCTGGTCAGCATAGAAATCTGTAAAAACATCCTCGGTTACACATGAGAAGTTTGCAAAGAATGCATTTGATCAATAATTAATTTAAATAATTTGTATTAAATATATTACCTGTGCTCTCAACTCCGCTAACAACGATTGATTTGGACGCTTGCAGGATTAAGCAGACCCTTTCAAAGTGCTCCCATGTTGATGGGCTGCCACCCGAAGGTCCCACCTTGGCCAGTTCACTTCTAAAATATTGGGTTAGCAAATAAACAAGAAACAATGTATGCAAATAATGGTAGGCATGAACCTTACCTGTATTTCCTCGTCGAATTTTCTATTTTGTTCTTCACCTCAACATGAGAAGGTCCAAACTCTTTTAAGGCATCCGCTATTTCCTTATAAATATGAGAGTTCTTGCGAACTCCCCGGAAACAATCTATGTTTTCCTCCCATTGGTCGAGCAGAGTCAATAAGGCCGCAGGTGTCCACAAAAATCTCCTATCTAATGACAGAATTGATTAAAACTATTTGTTTTAAATATTATATGCATATTTTTACCTTTTCCTTCCTCAGACATACTTTAGGGTGCACAATTAATTTCTTAGGTCAGCTGTTTTTATACCCGTACTCAAAAAAGAGTTAAGGGGTATATTAGATTTGTGGTAAAAGTGGATGTGTGTAACGCAGAGAAGGAAACGTTTCCGACCCCATAAAGTATATATATTCTTGATCAGCATCAATAGCCGAGTCGTTATAGCCTTGTCTGTCTGTCCGTCTGTCCGTCTGTCTGTCTGTCTGTCTGTCTGTCTGTCCGTCTTGTTGAGCGCCTAGATCTCAGAGACTATAAGAGCTAGGGCAACCAAATTTGGTTTCCAGACTCATGTGATATCACACTGCTACAAGTGTATTTCAAAATTTCGCCCCGCCCCCTTCCGCTCACACAAAGGACGAAAATCTGTGGCAGGCACATTTTTAAAGATACGAAAAAACTAAAATTATCTCAGAGAATGTCCATATCTACCAGACTGCCGAATCTGAATCAGATCGGATCATAATTATAGCCAGAATGAAGAAATTAATTTTCAGTTGCTTCCCCTCCCCATCCCACCAACGACAACACAACTCATTTTCCTTCTCGCTCGCACACTCTGCCGCGTTCAGTGCGCGAGCAACCCCTAGCGGAGGAGATGTAGAATCTAAATGGAACACGTAATATCTACATGTTAGATGTAGAATAGACATTGTATATGTAGATGTAGATATCAGATGTAGCAAAAAAATGTAAAATGTAAAATTTTTTTTTTTTAATTCTATAAAATCATAAGCTAAAAAATGTATATACTGACTGAGTACGGGTATAAGTAGAGTCGTGTCCGCAGAAACGACTCACACGTTGCTTCTCGTTTTGTTTTAATTAGTGATGATAGTTGCGCTGATAGGCAGAAAAGTGCAAAAATGTGCTGTTAAGCGCAAAAGCAATCGAATATATCGAATAGAAGCACATGAATTAGAGACCGACGCAACTTTTTGCCACAACTATCACACTCTCTGTATAATGTTAGTGTTGGGTAAACATCGTTCAATTTACTGAACAATTTTGTTCGTTCACTTTTATTCAGTGAACTAAGTCGTTCTTTTAGTTCGTTCTTTTTTGTTCGTTCTTTTTCGTTCGTT